CGTAGTGCTTTTGTTATTCTGTCGTTTTATTGATGTATGCATCATACGGTTCTTTTTTGTGAATTTCCACGAAAAAAAAAGTTTGCTTTTATGAATTGCAGTGGCTATCATTTGCACCTGTCGTTGTCTTACTTTGCGTTCGTGGATGTACCTTGCCCACTGCATGCATGTCTGTAAGAGTTTGAACCTCGCTGATTCACAACTGCTGACCATACATACATAAAAGAAAGCCTCAGCATTGGTCAATCCAGCAAATTGGAATTCAATGTAGACGTGAAGTGAGTGTCTTTCTGCTTGATGCATTTGAATGAACACCAATGCTTCAGGCGTATTACTATGGTTGTTTGTATTAGATTAAATAGTATATTATGTAGTTACCTGTGTCCTGCAACTACGCCCATGGCAGAGAGAGGGGTCACAGGGGCGACAGAACCCAGGGGAGAATGGAAGGTCACTACTCGCTCTGGCTGAGCCTTTCTGCAGAATTGGCTTCTCTGTAAAGTGGCCGGGTGCTTACTATGTAAGCTGGTGCTTCTCTCTGGGCTGGTGCTATGAGTGCAGGGTGCAGTGCTCGGTGGTAGTATGTGGGCTCAGCGTGGGCCGGGCACGGTACTATGTGGGCTGGGTGTGGTACTATGTGTGCTGGATGCAGTACTGTGTGGGTTGGGTGCAGTATTATGTTGGATGAGTAGTCTTATAGATCTGTGTAGGCTTGGTGAGCTGGGTGGGGAGGTACTATGTGGACTGGGTGCAGTACTATGTGGGCTGGCAGTGGTATTATGTGGGGTACAGTACTGTGTGAGCTGAGTGTGGGCTGGATTCAGTACTACGGGGGTTAGGTGCGGTGGCATGTGGGCTGGGTGAGGTACTCTGCAAGCTGGGTGCGGTTCTGTGCGGACTGGGTGCAGCACTATGTGGGCTGGGTGGTCATACACAGCCTATGGGCTGGATGTGGTACTGTGTGGGCTTGGTGCAGTACTGTGTGGGCTGGGTGGTCATACACAGCCTATGGGCTGGATGTGGTACTGTGTG